GTTATATATCATATATATATATTGTATAGTATATATATATATATATATATATATATATATATATATATATATATATATATATCATCACATATACAGTATATAGTCATTTATGGGACTAATTCACCCAAAAATAAAATTCTGTCATCATGTACTCACCCTCATGCTGTTCTAAACTTTCTTTGGAATACAAAAAGTACTATTTCATAAGCATTTCCTATGACTTTTGTGCTACATTCCAAGTCTTCTGAAGTCATATGACAGCTTTGTGTGAGAAACAGAACATAATTTAAGTCATTATTTGCTGAAGATCTTCCCGTCTGTCCCAGTTCTTAAATCTCATTAGTTCTTTATTCAGTTTGTTACATATATATATATATATATATGTTTTTTTTTCAAATGCATCTGCGGTTATCTCAGTCATGCTATAGTGTTATTTTGTTTTAACACATTTCTTTGAAGAAAAGGTTCTATAAAAAACCTTAACAATCAATATACTTTATCAGGTTTGACGTGACTTCATTGGATGCAAACCTGGTGCAATGTAATATTTATATGCCATATTTTAATTTAATGTGAATAAGATTTAAGAACTATGACAGCGAGAAAGATCTGAATGAAGGATTTGCTTCCTAAAAACACTCAGCTTTTGTCTTCACGAGACGTTAATTGATGGACTGGAGTCATGTGGTCACACTTTGCTTTGTTTGAAAAGAAAGATTATGGTCTTACATTCTGGTAAATCGCTTGTTTTCACAACGACAGGATGAAAGTGATAACTACTGTACAGACTTCCTCTGTTTACACCTCCCAGATAAAGTTTCTGCAGCTGCAGACACTGAGTGATATGACTCATCAAAATGATTCCACTTCCTGTCGAAATGGTTATTATCGTAATCGCATATTTAATAATAATAATAATTTATGCATTTAGCAGACGCTTTTATCCAAAGTGACTTACAGTGCATTCAGGCTAAACATTTTTTACCAGTATGTATAAATTAGTCATATTTAGTGTTATCACATAAACAAAACTATAGAAAGTGAACGTGACTTGGCCTGTGAAAGAGCCATAGCATTTCAGGGGCAGTATGTGTGGAGTTAAAGGCACAATATGTAATTTTCGCCGCTAGAGGGCGCGTATTAAAAATAAACAAATAGACAAAGACCTAGTTTGATGACGGCGTCACAGAGTGTGGAATCATAAAGCAGCGGAGCTTTTATTATGCCACAGTCGAGCGCTTCCGCTGCTTCCGGTCGTGCGTGTGTGGGGTAAAGCAGCGCTGTTTTATCATACTAGAAACATTTGAAAGTGCTGTTATAATGCTACTCTGTGCGGTCGTCAGCGGTCTATTAAAACGCAACATATTAAAGCGTCTTTAGTGTTTCCATGTTTTCTCGGAAATCGAGGGGTTATGACGTCACTGGCAGGAGACACTATAGACACGATCCGTGTCACTAGTTAAAATTGCTTATTTCTCTGGATTTAAACATTCTTCCAAACATTTGGGATAATGTAAGTACACAAGTCAGCAAAATATATAACACTGTTCTACTGGGTTTTGGATATTTTAATAAAAAAATCTTACATATTGTGCCTTTAAATGAGGTCATTGGCTTTTTCTGCAAATTACTTTTGCATGTTTGCTGACATCTGGTGGAAAGTCTTTTCTGCTGCAGTTGAGGTTTCCTCTTCAGGCAGGGTTATCTTGTTTTTAGGCCAAGGACCCGTTGATGAAAATAGACAGAGCAGGGACCCTTGTTACAAATTGTGAATGCAAAATTTGTTATTGCATTTTAAGCCTGACCTATAATATCATGTGTATATTACCATAGTCTTGTATTTACTTACATTACACCCTTAGAAATAAAGGTTCCAAAAGGAGACGTTCCAAAATGAAAATATATTATGTAATATTTCAATAATATAGCAATTATGTATATATATATAACTAATTTTTGTGGTTCAAAACATATGTGAGTTTAAACAGTTATTGGCTGACATCCAGTTTATGTTCTTTGAATTAAGCCTTTCACCTTTGTATGGTTTAATATTTCATGCCAGGTTAAATGTAGCATTTTTTTTGCTTATTGGACGACAACATTCAATAATTTAGAAGTAGCAGTAGGTGCGGTTTCCTCCCCGTGCTCGTGTTACCTGCACGTCACACCCAGTAATCACAACTGCTGGCCTCCATTATGTGTTGATCCATTTTTTTTATGACATCCTAACAAAGATCAAATGGGTGGAGTCTTCTCAGTCCATGACTGGGCATGTGTTTTCTGTGTGAATCTCATTCAAATCAATACACAAGACATTATTTGGAGAATAGATTAGGGC